TTTCTGAACTGATATAAAAACATTTTCAAGGTACTCTTAGAGAGAATATCAAATTTCTGTTAGAAGAATTCTGAAAAGAACTCTGTGAAGGGAAATTGTTCGAATGGAAATGCTCGAGAACAATTAAATTAAATCCTATTAAGTTTTGAGGGAATTTTCATATGCAAATTCGAAGTCTGCAAGAACGCAGAACCAAATTCAAGATCCAGGAAAAATTTTGCTGTTTTAGTAATCAATCATTTAACTTGGTTATCTCTTCGGTTCAATTGCATTTAGTTTTATCAACAATCAATACGAAACTAACGATTTTAAATTGGCTCACCACTTTAGTAGCCTATTGGTCCCAAGCAAACGATTAACGTACCCTATTCTAGTTGAAATTCTATTACTACACTATGTTTGTTTTGATTCGCTATGAAAGTTTGACAGATAACATCAGGGGTGTGTGGATTCATGCAGAACATGCAGGGGTGAGTGAAATAGCTTGGGACTGCTTGGGACCGTTGTTCTGGTACTAAGTGAGCCAAAAATAATAATAATTTTCTTCGGGACCCAGTGGTCTTAGAGTTACCTCTATGGTTTTATTATCGCACAACCGGGAAAAATTCCAAAATTTCGGGAAATTGCTAATCGGGATTTGCTGCTCACCATGGAATCCTGAATATCATTCAAAGGAAATTTTGCAAAGAAGTCCGGAGAAAATTTATAAAATTATTATCACGGTGATTTTACGATGATTCTGAGTACAATTAAGGCCCTTATTACCGATGTCACTTCACGGTGAAGTGACAACTTATCACTCACGGTGAAGTGATTCCCATTTGATTTACATGGCAGTCACTTCACCGTGAGTGACAACTGGTCACTTCACTTCGTTTTCGCCGTGTAGTGAAGTGACACCCGTAATAAGGGTCTAAATGTGAGATGAATTCCAAGAGAACTTCAAAGAAATTCGTAGGATAATTTGAAAAGTGTTCTGACTAGAAATCTAATCTAATTTAGAACAGTATTGAAGTACGTCAGAGAACCTTTCCAGGAATTTTAAAATATGTTATAATTCAGCCAACTTTATATTCCTCGTTTGCTACTTTTACTCTTTGAACGAAAGGCAGCGAAATAATTATCTTCAGTAACAACATAAATTCTTAAGCTATAATTGTGTTTTTTTAACATGGATAATTATTATAGATTTTAAACTTAGACCGCTTTTTGAAATATTGGAGCTGATAAAATCAAACTTGCAGAAATTTTCAAGAATCGAAAATAAATATTCAAGACTATGGTCATAGAATAAATTCCAAGATCCCAGATTTCAAATAAATTAAGGATATTGCAAATGTTTCAAAGGTTATAAATTTTATGAGAATTTCCAAGTATCTTTAGGGATAATTTAAAGGGAATTCAGGGGAAAATATGAATGGATGAATTTTTAGGTAATTGAAATTTCAGGATTCTTTTCAAATTAATTCTGAGGATGACTCCAGGTGAAACGTAAGGAGAATTCCAAGGTAGTTCTGAATGTAATTCTAAGGGAATCCTGAGTAGAATTCAGAGTATATTTACAAGAACATTATGTGTAACATTTCAATGTAATTCCAAATAGAATTCAAAGAGAAGCCTGAGTCAGGCATGGAAAATCAATAACATTCATTACGTGCATTAATTTACATTAATTTGCCTCTAACTTTTTCCATCAACAGAATTCCGTTAAATTATGTATGAAACTTTTGTAGGTTTTGATATTAACTACAACTCAAATCTGTACCTCTTACGTATGATGAACTAGAGTGGGCAGAACTTGTTACTATTTTTCAGTGAATGTAATTTACATTCACTGAAAAACATAGGTAAGTTCTGTTCACCCCGGTTCATCATGCATAAGATATACAGATTTGAGTTATTCAAAAAGGTTGTAGCTAATATCAAAACCTACAAAAGCTTCATACATCATCTCATGGAATTCTGTTGATGAAAAAAGTTAGAGGCAAATGAATGTAAATGATTTGCCATGCCTGGGTCTGACTAAATCTGCAAATTAATTTTGAAGAAACTTTTCTAAGGGATTTGAAGGGAGAACTGAAAGTGAATTCTAAGGAAAACTCCAAGGTGCTTGTAAATAGAATTCCAAGAGAAGAAGGAGAATCCAAAGAGTATTCGGAAAATAATTCAATTCAAATTCTGAGGATTATTTCAAAAGTACTCTTAGGCGTATTTGAAAGTAGTTTGGATGAAAGATTCTAGGAGATTTCCAACGAAGTTTTATGGTGAATTTCAAAGGATTTCTAGGGAGACTTTCAAGGTTGTTGCTGTAATCATCTTTAGTGAAGGAACACTCCTGTGGAATTCTGCGGATCATTTCAAGGAATTCAGGGAATCACTTCAAGAAAATTCGGCTAAACGGCGTTCTGTCATACGACATTCAGAAAAGCAATCCAGAACGCTTGGTACACACTTAGAAAAAAATACCGACTTCGGTAATTCATTTACCGAATTCTCAACAGCTGATCGGTCGGTAATGTGTTCGGTAATCGAGAACATTACCGAAAAATCTGTAAACTGAATCAGCAAAATTAGCTGTCAAATTTACCGAACGATCGGTAACGTTTACCGAAAAAACAAGCTTGATTTGTAATTGATTTTACCGGAGAACTGTAATTTTGGAGTCGATATGGAAAATAAAAACTACCGAAAGATCTGTAATTTTTTTAAAAGTCTACCGACTTAAATTTAATTCGGTTTAATATTGTTTCAAAGTATTTTTTCGGGTCTTATCAATTATACAAATTAAATACAAATACTCAGATGAATAGTTTTTTTGAGTTCATTCAATGATGTATCTGTTTCACGGGTAGAACTTGCTTCATCGCATTGAGTAGGCATTTCATGACCGATGAAAAGGGCTTCCCCGAGTGGATCGTTTCCCTTCGTGGTACTTCCGGCTGGAACAAAGCCTTCAAGTGGATGCTTTTCAATGATTTGGCGTTTTAAAGAATAGAAGTTTCTATATCTTGCATCACATTTCTGATATGTACAATCAAAAATTGTGTTTGCCGGTATAAAATCTTTCTTTTTTATGTGGTCATTGATGAAAAAACAAGCAACAGCATCGGCCATCTGTAACAATGGGTATTTATTTAGATAACGAAATATCATTACTTACGGAAAATATCTACGATTCGCTCATCTTGGTGTTGCAGCTGGCTCGTAACAGCCTCCATAATTGAACTTTTTATTTTTCACAAGTTTCCACTTACAATTTTTTTTTAAGAAGGTCGAAAATCACAATATGGTGAATTTGACGTTTCTCGCTGTGAAAACTACCGAACTCGGTAATGGAACGGTTTGTTTACCGAAACTTCAGTAAAATATTTCACCGAAGTCAGTGATGAAGCTGATTTACAGATCTACCGGTAATTTTTTTTACCGTTTTCGTTAAATTGAAATGAAAACACCGAAATTCGGTAATTTTATTCACAGTTTTCAGCAATAGAGCGAGAAAATACCGAAACATCTGTAATTTTTAGGATTACCGATCTAAGACGGTAATTTTTTTTACCGAACTCAGGGTCTCTGTTTAAGTGTGTAGGAACACGCATTTTCAAGACCAATATGAAGCTGTGATGATTATTTTAAAGCCCTTTCAACATAGAAAAAAGTTCACTATCTGCAGTATCACTTTATTATAGAACTCTTAGAGTAACTTTTTTTTCCTTTTTGAATGTCTTCTCGTGATTATTTGAATCTTCTGTTCAATTTGATGTTATCCTTTACTCATTAAAGGCTAAAGGTTTTGTTGAATTTTTATAAGATCAGTCCTTAATAGGTCTTCCAACATTTTCTGAAAGCTTCAACGGATTTATTCGTCAAATTTGCTTATCAACAATCAAATTTCAAATGAATTTCAGTGTCCTTTTTTATTTAAAGCTTCAATGTCATTTTTTTTCCTTTGATTTTCTATAAAATAGATCATTCTATGAAGGTTATCTTCAATCGATCACGTTCGAATCTTCTTTCTTCCGATGCATTGCAAGCCCGTCTACCTATTTATGTTTTAGTTTTGGTTGATCCTTCCAATTTGTGATGTGTTCAATGAAAACTTTTGTATAATGAACTACCATAGAAGCTCAATTTAGGATCAAAATCATTTGACGAATTTTGAAAAAACATCCAACATTCTGTGCACCGCTTCACCCGAGTAGCACATTTCCGTCACAATAAGTTGCAGCAACTTGTTTATGACTGGCATAAGTTGTATAGAAGTTGCCACAACCAATTTGTGACAAGCGTGCTACTAGGGCAAGGGTACGGGATCACTGCAACGGATGACTCAAAAAAAAACTTGAAAGAAGCGAGGCTCGAAAGCACATGTTCCATTCGATAAGATATGGTTGAGCATTGCGCGTGTGTACATTTTGTTTACATTTTGATGTATCGAAACCGAAGACCGAAATGCAACATGGGAGGACCGAACGACACTTGACGTCCTGTTTGTTCCATCCAAGCAATTTGACCCGCGTAATCGCATGATTACCCGATCAAAATTATTCAAATCATTCCCCGGTTGCAGTGCTCTAATTGGTCCATTTGCATTTCCATAATTTTCCTCCTGGCTGCCAGGCAAAAAATATCTTCTCGTCCAATTTGCACTATCATCCTAATGTACAGCCAGCAGTAGAGGTGCTCGGTACTCGCACACAGCAAAAAGGTCTAGCCAGTCAGTCGCCTAATTATTACACTCTCCGCTAGTTCGTCCGTTCCTTTGCTCCCTCTTACCCTACCCATTTACCCACATAACTCAATTACTTTCCCCTTCCTTCGTGCTCGAACGACCTGCTTCTATCCATCCGGTTCCTGAAATATGGACACCCATTTCATTAATGGTCACCGGCGACGACGACGACGACGACGACCACCACGACGACGACAGGCGTCCCGGAGTTGCGAGCATATTGAGTGAAATTAAATTGCGCTTTCCTGTTTCCTCTCCATCTCTCTTGCAGTTCGGAACGCGCACCTACTACCTCCCTGGTTCCTGGTGCTGGTGGTGGTGGTCAGGATAAAATTGAAACAGAGCCAACAACCATCCTTTACCGTTGCCGGCACAAGGCACCTTTGCCACGATGCCAGGCGAGTCCAAAACGGCGGAACCGGCGCCAGCCACCAATCCGAGCACACCGAAGAAGAAGCCCGCCACGTCGTCCGGTAAGGCGGCGCTAGCCAAAGTCACAGTCCTGGATGGATCGATACTGGAAGTGACCATCGATGTAAGTGTAGAGTGTGATTCGAGCCGAAACTTTGAATAATTCTAACGAGTGATTTTTTTTTCCAGCGCAAAGCTCGCGGTCGAGATCTGCTGAACTCAGTCTGCGCTGGGATGAACATCATCGAGAAGGATTATTTCGGTTTGACGTACGTAACGGCGGTCGATCCCCGGGTATGGCTGGACCTGGAACGACCGGTAGCCAAATTCTTCCGCTCCGATCCGTGGGAGCTGAACTTTGAAGTCAAATTCTACCCTCCGGAACCGGCACAGCTGCAGGAGGACATCACCCGCTACCATCTGTGCTTGCAAGTGCGAAATGACATCCTCGAGGGCCGGCTGCCATGTTCGTTCGTGACGCATGCCCTGCTCGGATCGTATCTAGTTCAGTCGGAGCTGGGCGACTACGATCCGGACGAGATGAAGGATCGCGCGTACCTGAAGGAGTTTAAGATTGCACCGAACCAGACGCCGGAACTGCTGGACAAAGTGATGGATCTGCACAAGACGCACAAGTAAGGGTGTTTTTGTTTGGCCTTTCGGGACTAGTTACTCAAGAGTGTTTTTTTTTGTGCAGGAGTCAGACCCCAGCGGAAGCCGAGTTGCACTACCTGGAGAATGCCAAGAAATTGGCAATGTACGGTGTTGATCTGCATCCCGCCAAGGACTCCGAAGGAGTCGATATCATGCTGGGAGTTTGTGCGTCCGGATTGTTGGTGTACAGAGATAAGTAAGTTTCATTAGTTTAACTGCGTACAGGGTGAATGAAATTCTAACAACCAACTACTTGCAGACTCCGAATCAATCGTTTCGCATGGCCCAAAATCCTGAAAATCTCGTACAAGCGAAACAACTTCTACATCAAGATCCGGCCGGGTGAGTTCGAGCAGTACGAATCGACGATCGGCTTCAAGCTGGAGAACCATCGCGCCGCCAAGAAGCTGTGGAAGGCTTGCGTCGAGCATCACACCTTCTTCCGCCTGATGACGCCGGAACCGACGTCCAAGGCGGGTCTTTTCCCGCGGCTAGGCTCCAAGTTCCGCTACTCCGGGCGCACGCATTACGAAACCCGGAAGACCCCCGTCGATCGGCCGGCGCCCGACTTCAAGCGAAGCCTCACCGGGAAGCGGATGTCCAGCAGAAGCATGGATGGTAAGTTGGAAGGGTCAGTCCAGATTTAGGCGTATGATAATCAACCGGGGCCTCCCTTAGCTCAGTCGGTAAAGGCGTAGCACAAAGCAAGACCATGCTAGACGTGGCTGGGTTCATTTCCCGGTCCGGTTTAGGAATTTTTCGGTTTGCAAAATTTGGTGTGATTGTACTTGCCATACAATTATCTAATGCAAAAATGGTACAGACATCGAAAGCTCTCAATTAATAACTGTGAAAGTGCATCTAGAACACTAAGTTGAGAGCACGCAATAAACTAATATGCGATAATCAATAAGCTTGAAATGCGAAAAATAAGAAGATAATCAATCGTATTTTTTGCAGCCCTTGGCCACCAGGAAAAGGAGCGAGCTGCCCTCAAGGACCCGAACAAGGACGCCAACAAACGACACACCATGTCACATCCACCGGATCACATTCCGGATCTGGAATCGCCCACCCGTGGCTCCCGAAGCCCGATCAAAAAGGAAAAGAAAGAACGCGTGAGTACCCACTAGACCGAGTCTCCTGTCCCCCTCATCCGTTACAGAAATAAAACACCCCCCGTTGAGAAACCCCCGTTTACTTCACCCACCACTCTTGTTTCATATAGAATTCCTTGTATTCCGAAACAACATCACTAAACAGCTTGATAACAAAAGTTGACTACCTATCTTCCCTCTTTCTCTCTCGCTCTGTTTTCTATTGGATACCGATTCAACATAAAATCCAGTATTTCACCCCCATAAATCATTCAGTTCATCTTTGTTTCTTGAAGGTTATGGGATTTCATGTATTACATTTTGGGTGGTTATTTGCATACTAACCGAGCGTAACAACTAATCCGTATGTATTTATGTATTCTTTTACTATTTTTTTTTATCGTTCGGATCAACGACGACGACAACAACAACAACACCAATCTCACACAATCACACTTAACCAAATCCATCAACATTCTAACATTCGAACAACAACAACAACATCAACACATTCGACCACAACAACAACAACAACGTTCAACTGCAGCTGAAGCGCGAGTCTAGCACCGGAACGGCTTCAGCGTCGTCTCAGAGCTCACTCGAGGGTGATTACGATATCACTGCGTCGTCGTCTAACGTTGTTCCGATGAGCCAGGTTATGATAACACCCGTACTAACCAAACAAAGCTTTCCCTTTTATATCTTACAACTTCCTATAACTTATCAACCATCATTTTAAGTTCTACCTATTTTGAGTTTCTGCCTTCCGAATTCGAGTGGGAGTTCTAGCGATGCGGCGATGAATCTTAGCTTCCCTTTTTTCCCATGAAGCGATTGTAGGTGCTTCCGCAATCAGTTGCGGAATTACCTGGAATTACTGGGAGTTTCTAGTTTTTTTTTTTAACTTAAACTTTCGATTATGCAGAATTCCGAAATTTTTCGCTTTGTTTTGGCGCTTCAATTTTGGCTTCCACGTCCGATTGTGTAATCGAAAGTTTTCCACTTTTTTTCGCGTGATGTTTAAGAGAAAATATGTGAGCTACATCTGTGCTGTCCGTTTTCCTTTTTCGTCCAGATTGAGAAATAAATTACAGTGCGCATTTTGGTATCAAATTCAACCACCTGTTCCGTTTTTACCTTGCGTTTATTGAACGTTATGTGTTATGTTCCAATTATGAGTTCTTTAGGTTTATTGTTTTTGCATGACATTCGTAACTCTCTTTTTACCCTTTCAAACATTCTGTACCGTAGAATAGTAGTTCATAGTTTCACTTTAAAAAATGCTACAATGATTCCCATAAAGATGAACGAAAGAAAGCGTCGCACGTGCTGTTGTTGTTCAGAAAGTTTCTGCCGGATATTGTGAAGAATAATAATACAGAGTAACTCCTAAACTTTGGAAAATTCCGGGGCTATTGGAACTTAAGAAACCTAGAATCCCGACCCGAGGAACTTGAAGATGTTCGTCATTTTTGGGACTCTTTATGGCGCGTAAAACCTCCAGAGATTCTTGCAACAGAGCTCCAGAAACCCGGGACCAGTGTTGGAAAAATATCAAAAAATCAAATCTTATTAATGCCCAAGATCACGTTTGATTTTCGCAGACAAAAATCAAAAAAACAAACAAATGCGGTTGATTTGCAAGCTGTGATATCGCAGCTCGGAATATCAAGCTAACAAAACTCAGCAACTGCAAATCTCACCCCAAACTGTGGTGAGATTGAGTTTAATGATTTTTGCTTTACACCCGAATACAACCGAAACTTCCATAACGGCTTGCAGCAGTCCCTTCGTGTCTACCATCGGTGAAGATTAAAAAGAGATAGCAAACTATGCTTTCTCTTTCTAAGAATACGATGTGCAACGGAATCAGTTTTGTGTCGAGTCAACTCTCAGCTTGATTTTTGCATGCTGTGAATAGTCTCGCAATATCAAAGGATCATGAAAAATCAATATCAAACATGATATTTTGATCCAATATCACGCGTGATATTGAGAGCGTATGAGAGCGGAAAAATATTATTTGATTGAGGATTTTGCCAACACTGCCCGGGACATTAAGAATTTGAAGTATTTAAATACTACATCCATTTCTAAAATTCTTAGGAGCCTCAGGTAGTTCAATTTTTCTCAAAATTCCACAGGTATTCGCATCAGAATTCTATGGATTATTCTTTAAATTGTTTGGAACCTAAAAATTCTTCCAAGTCTCAGAGCCTATAAAATTGTTCAAGGCCGATTAAAATGATTTTTGTTTTGTTTAGATCTAGGATCATTAAATTTTTTTAAATACCTCATTTTGAGCATTCTTCTGTGGGGTTGTGCTCATGCAATTCTGATACTCTCAGTGCTAGCTGGCGTTGCTAGATCACTGCTCTTCTCTCCATTTACGCTGCAGCTCTGACAGGCATTCCAAGTGCCATCCTCTCGACACACGGCGAATGAGAACAACCCAAATTTGAGTTTAGTTCACTCATAATCGCCAAAAGTGCAGGAACTCAGCGATGAGTAAATTTGCCTCATGTTTTCCCTGGTTTTTCCAGGGAAAAATTCCCGAATTTGAGAAAGTAAAGATTGGATTCACTCAGTCTATTGGTACTACTCCGAAACTGAATAAAATTTTCATCAATGAGGAAATTTTCCGGCAGATTTTTTAGGTTTTCCACAGGAAACCATGACACAAATTTTGCTCATCGCTGAGTTCCTGCACTTTTGGCGATTATGAGTGAACTAAACTTAAATTTGGGTCGTTCTCATTCGCCGTACACATTTTATCGATGACATTATCCACGCTAAGGATGGGCATCTCGCTTCGCACTGCCTCGACCCTTGGACAGTCGAAGACCACTTGCTCCGGCGTTTCATCGACATTGCCACACGCCGATCAGAGGGGTGACGCTGCGTGTCCGAAACAATTCAAGTATTTCCTGAACCAGCCGTGGCCAGAAAGGAACTGCGTTAGGTAGAAGTTGACTTCTCCGTGTTTTCTGATCACCCAGGTCGAAAGAATCGGTATTATTATATGTGTCCGTTCTCCGCCGTGTTCCATTTCTGTTACCACTTAGCCAACGACTTAGCCGCTCTCACCACTTTCCGTACTCTTCCGGCTGTCCTCCACCAGGGTGATGCCGATAGGGATAATTACTGCTTTGACGAGATGATTCTGTACGCACTCACGACTCGCATGGCCATGAGCCGGAACGTACTGCTCAGTTTCGTTTGGTTCTGCTTCGTTTCCAGGGCTGTAACCCAGGCTGGACCTCCATAGCTCAGTATTGACGACGACACACTGACCAGAAGACGCCTCTTGCTACTGCTGGGACCAGAGTTGTTGGGCATGATTCAAGCTATCGCGTTGATGACCTTCGAAGCCTTCTAACAAGCATATTCGACGTGGCTGTTGAAGTTTAGCCGGTCATCGATCATCACTCCCAGGTATTTCAACACACGTTTCGAGGTTATGGCGACGGTGATTTCTGCACGCTGCACCGCTTTACAGTTACTGACCAATAGCACGTCCATTTTGTGGTGGGCTATCTGCAGTTTCGCTTCTTCGCCAATTAGGTCGATCGCCTCGGTCGCCAACACTTCCACCTCTTCCAGCGTCTCGCCTGTTACCGTCAAGACGACGTCGTCCGCATAGCCAACGATCTCAACTCCTTTGGGCAGCTTCAGCGTTAGCACGCCGTTATACCAACAATCAATACGAAACTAACGATTTTAAATTGGCTCACCACTTTAGTAGCCTATTGGTCCCAAGCAAACGATTAACGTACCCTATTCTAGTCGAAATTCTAGTACTACGCAATGTTTGTTTTGATTCGCTTTGAAAGTTTGACAGATAAAATGAGGGGTTATTGGTTTTTCCTATGTTTCGAGGGGTGAATCGTTTAGCTTGGGACCGAAGAGAGTACCAGAGCTGAGCCAAAAAGTTGAGCACGTTATTTCGGGACCTTCTAGTCTTAGAGTTACCTCTATGGTTATACCACCGACAAACCGACATGAAACTTAAACTTAACTTTCGCTCGAAAATCTATAACGGTCGATTCAAATGTGCAGCGATACCATCTGTCGAAACCATAGAAACTTTTCATCTAGATAAAAATAACTTGTCCAGAATAGATCATACACGAACCAATCCATACGTTTTGCACTCGTGTTCATGGCTTAGATAAACGTTTTCCGCGAACACGGAGACAGATGTCGATAGTGTGCTTTGAGCAGAAATTTGGAGGTAATTTCTATGGTCATTCATGTCGGTTTGTCGGTGGTTGTACATCCCGTTCCAGAGCGTTGGGCCAAGGATGGAACCTTGTGGAACTTCCGCTGTGATCCTAATCGATCTCTGTTCCATGTCTGTATCGTAGACCAGAGCCCGGTTCTGGAAATAACTACTAATGTTACTGCACAGGTAGTCAAATACCTTCATTTTATGCAGCGCTTCGGCGATGGCCTCCCAGCTGGCGCTGTTGAACACATTCTTGACGTCGACCGTTATCACGGCGCAATATCGATCTCCTCTCCCCTTCTGTTTGTATGCCTTCTCGGCTCTCTCGACCACTGTCCGCATTACATCCACCGTTGATCTCCCTTTCCGGAATCCGAACTGCCTCTGCGACAATCCGTGCTCACTCTCCGTGCTTTCGTCAGTCTGTTTAGGATGATCCTCTCCAAGAGTTTTACGAGTGTATCCAGCAGACGATGTTGGATCCCCTGGCGGTTTTCCAGGTTTCGGCAGCAAAACTAGCTTCCGTATCTTCCACCTGTCAGGGAAGTGACCCTCGTCCAGGCATTTCTGTAGCACCACCCTGAACATGTCAACGCCACGTTGGGGATTACATCCGGACCGGGAGCTTTCTTCACCTTCAATCCTTTCGCCACTGCCACGAGTCCTCGTTGGTGACTTTGACGTTATCTCCCTCTCCCTTTCCGTACGGTGTAGGTGGCCAGGTCGTTGGGTCGGGCTTCGGTAAAAGTTCTTTCACGATGACTTTCAGCTTCTCTATGCACATTTCAGCGGGCATCGTTGAACCTCTGATCTTCGCCATCACGACTCTGTATGCCTCGCCCGAATGGTTGGCATCAGCGTCCCGACAGAGCTCATTAAAACAGTCTCTCGTTTAAGTGCGGTCGTGGCCACTCGGAACACTCACTCCTCTTTGTTCCTCTCTGCTCAGAGAACAAGAACTCTGAACACGTCTTCTAGCTCTGAGACAACTAGCGCGGAGGATGCTAAGAGCTTCGTTTCACCAGTAAGCTGGACGCCGTCTGTTATTTGGCTCCAGCTTCCTCGGCATGGTCGTGTCCCATGCTCTCACTAACGTTTCTGTCAGCTCGTGCGCGTTCAAAACGGCGGGGCCCATGTCCACACGGAGTGCTTCAACGAAAAGATCCTTGTCGAAAGCCTTCCAGTCGCAAGTTCTCGTCCTCCGTACTGCCACGGTATTCCGTTGACCGATGTCATATCGGATCGCCTGATGGTCGCTATGGATATATCCTTCGTACACTTTCCAATTCATCTTTGCCACCAGCAACGGACTGCAGAAAGTGACGTCGATAATGGATTCCCGGTCATTTCTGCGAAAAGTGCTACTGGTGCCTTTGTTGGACAGCACAACTTCATGCTTTGCCAGAGCTTCCAGCAGACTATGCTCTCTTGCATTGGATCATCTGGTTCCTCACTGCACTGCCCAAGCATTGAAGTGTCCTACGATGACTACCGGTCTTCGTCCGATCAGCTCTTCGGTAAGTCCATCCAGCATCACATGGAACTGCTCCATCGTGAGTAACAGTTACATATGAAGATTCCGTTAATTTTGACTATCACGACACCTTCGTATGAGCTCGCTACCACTTCTTGAATGGGGTATCTGCCCATAACTTGTATTGCAGCCATCCGAGCTCTATCCGCCACACAGTTACCGTTATCGGGAGGGACTCGATACGTCGCACTTTATTTCTGTTGTCGACTACCACAACAGATGCTCTGCAGTGTCGCTATGATTGAGGTTTATCTTGGTTACCTCCATTACTGTGAAGCCTCTTGCAATGTGAACTTTCTCCCCGTTTTTCCTGCACAGATCAGATCTGTCAAGGCTATTGCAGTTTCTCGGCTGGTGTCCGAAACCTATCGCTCCAGTTGCGTGGTAACCCAAGGAGTGACTTTCAGCGAGCACGCTGACCACCTTGCCCGTCTTCAGCAGCTTATTCTCTGCAGCTGTCGAAAGCTGTATCACCGCCGTTTGCATGCCGCCGTACGCCTTCCTTACCCGGATTGACATCGGGACATCCCCCAGATCGCAGTGCACTCTAAACGCACTTTTTAGCTCCTCTTCTGAAGTGATCTTGTCCAGATCCCTGCACTCAACCACTGTCTCCTGGGGTCGACTTTTCGACGAGCTCCTTGAAGGCTCAAAGAGCATCTCACCTTTCTGGGTGCGCCTGGTTTTCACCACTTTCTCTCCTAGTTCCTTCAACTCCGGATCCTCTCGAACCTTTCGGAGGAGTGCCCCGTACGTCGTTTTGTCCTTTGCTTTGCCAATCAGAGCATCGCCCTTACTGCGTTCCCGACGAGGCCTAGGGTTCTTCTTTCTTCTTCACTTCTATTTCCTTTCGTTTTTTTTTTCAATCCTCCTTCGGCTTCTCGATGGTACGCCAACCTTGTTGTCTTCCTTGTCGTTCTTAGGTTTTTTCAACTCCTCTTCCTCTCCTGGCGTTTCCTTTTCCTCTTGTCCGAGTGTCGATTTCGGGGTCCCTTCGGCGTCTGCTGTGCTTCAACTGTTGCTTTCTCCTTGGCGTCGATCAGTGCCCATTCTGCAATCCCGGCTCTCGTCCTCAGCGCATCCTGTTCACGTTTGGCAGCAATCATGGTGGATTTGATATCCGTCTCCATTTCCTTTATTGCCTTGTGGACGTTGCTGTTATCCTTGACGAATTATCATACCTGAGCAGATCTTGGATTATATCTAAAAAGTTGTGGAAGATCAGATTCAATAGCAATCTAGCCTAGTTTCATACTCAGGAAGCGATTACCCAACTAGCTAGGAAGCGATTGGTGTGACTAGCCTAGAAACAGCTTTATTATACGAATGAAATGCGAACCAAACATTTATGGATGATATGAAGAAAATCTCAAAGAAAACAATTTTAGAGAGAAAATGTAAAACAAAATCGGAGATACTTTCAAAGGAAGCTAGGAGAACTTCTAAGTTAGTTGGAAGAAAGTTCAAAGAGATGCTAGAAGAGTCTTCCTGGGGAAGTAAGCCAGAGAGCCAGAATAATCTTCCAAGGCAAATCGGCTACTTCCTGAAACTTGGGTATTCAAAATTACGGGCAAATTAAAACTCTACTCTTAGGCTTCAACTAAGATAACCATGTAGAAGAAGAGTTGGCAGGCGATCAAACGTATTGCAATCATTGAAAGAGTTTTCTCCTAACTTCACAAGTAGGGCGTTAGAGGAGTCTTAAGAAATTTAATGATTTTTTTGATGATTTTGAAGTAGGAAGAACGTTAGGGATGACTCAGGGGGTGGTCACTCTACCCACGTATTTTGCGCCAACTTTTTTCTCAGTGTGCCGGCAGTGCCGAGAGTGTCATCAGACTGATTTTTTTTTTCATATAATGGTGTGTTTGGCTACCCGGTAAATTAGACAGTTCACATGTTTTGTTTTGAAGAAACAAAACAACAAGCAGTGTCCCAGATCCTTACTGTCGTGACTCTCGGTTCGTTGCTCCCAAATTCTATCGGAAAAGGACTACACTGAACCTAATAAGCAACGGCCTCAGCCATCCAATCGAAGCTTGGAACGATAACGTTCTCCGGGGGAGGCACTTCCAATTTCCGACAGGACAATAACTTCTACTGGATTGGAGTATGATGAGGACTCGGATGAACCACAGGTGACGGTGGTAAGTAGACCAAGCGAGCGTGCATCATCAGAGGAAGCTGGTCCAGATGATCTTCAGATTCTGATGAACGCTTCCGTGAGGAGCGATGCATGCGTCGCCAGCGTTCTAGTGGGAGTTTCAACCGGAATCACACTTCCCTGGTGGAGGTAGGGTTTAATATTTCCACACGGTAAGATAGTACAACGATCGGACAAATGGAGAGAAATATGATGTCTCTGGCAAAAAACAGTGCCGGCCAGAGAACACCTGTAAATGACCACTGTTAAAACTACTACGGCCAGATGGCGGTCTTTGTATGGACACCGATCTCCTTACGACCTTCTTTGCTGCTCGAATTCCATAATCCATTCGTACCTCATAGAGTTCGAAAAGCTGCTTTCGGATCAGTTCTACGAGGATGATTGCAAACATCACGATGTTGAAATGCTTACCGAACTGCTCCAATCGCTCGGTACCATGGGGAACACCGGTCTCTTTACACTTCACCGGGACTTCTTCACCGCCAAGCCTATAAATATTCTATTTCAAGCTCTGAGTTACCCGGGTCGTGTCTAAGAGCTAAACCTATACTTCTACCAACTCACCGATGTCAACTTTCAGGAGCTCACCTTCAGCCCACCAATCAATGACCAATCAACAGTTTACAATTCCACTCAACCTCCTTTGGCTTTGATTTCAGCTCCGTCACGAATCTTCGCGCCACAAATCGATCCACCAACATCTTCAACGTTCCTTTCACTTACTCCTTCAGGGTTTTGCTCTCCCCACTAACCAACTCACTAATCACATTCCGAATCGGTATTATCACCAGTAGCAGTCCCTTCATGGTCATCTCTTCAATCAGCTTCCGGAACGATGCCACCCCTTTCCCAACTTCGAACAACAGTTTATCTGAAACACCAAAGCCTTCCGCACCAGATCCTCGAACAGTTCGATCGTCTTGAGTGGAGGTTCTCCGATCTCGAAGTCTTCCGGTAGCGACTCCAGCACCATCGGGAAGAAACCTAGTAAGACCCCCAGATTACAGTTGTACTTGGCACCGGTCATCGCCTTGATGACCTCGCTCATCCTAATGTTTTGACAACATGTCCGCTGTGAGGAAATTCACGATTGAAGTTATAAAACCAAAAATCGGAGTGTGTCAACAACAATGATTATCATTTTGACACATGCACAGAGCAGGGGCAGATATAGTACAGTGTTGCCAGTAACTTTAAATATCATGAAAATGTCTAACCATTGGTGCCAATGAAAGTACCCAGGTGTGCCCGTCTGTATTTTTGGCACACTGTGCGGAGGGACCAACGCCTTGGGATGACTACAGATCTCCTCCCAATTTTTTTGGAGGTTGATCTGCAACAGCAGGGCTTTAGGGTGTCGATAGAAACTTCTTGATCATTTGGATAATTTTCAAGCAGCAGAAGGACGTTCTAAGTCACTATTGATGACCTTTAAATATTTTAGGAGATTGAACTGCTACAGGTGCCTTCAGAAATTTGATATATTTTTTAAGGACCATCAAATGGTAGAAAGCAAGCAAGTTTAGGATGACTACAGTGCTAAAAATATGTTAGTTTGAATTGCAACAGCAGGGCGTTTAAGGTGTCTATAGCCAATTCCCTGTTGCTAATATTTCGTGGATAGAGGGTGGGCTCTTCTCCCCATTTATTGGGACATTTTTCCACACGATGGCTTGATTTGGTTTCTGGTTGAAAAATCTTACTTCTGGAAGGAGAATCTCTATCACTCCCGCGGGTTTCGCGAAAGTGTCTTACAGGTCCGTCTCACCGTTTTTTGCCCTTCATACATGAGTATGATGAGTATGATAAGAAATCAAATCTTGATCAAGTCATGTAGTAGGAACAGTCCATTGCTATGTGCAGGCGCCTTGTTACAGTAGGTGGTCTATTATCATCATCGTCATCTATAGAAATTTGATGATTTTGAGGTAGCAATAGGGCGTAAAAGATGAAAATTGAACTTATACCAACATTTTGGAAGGTTGATCTGCAACTAAAGGACGTTCGAGGTGTATTTAGAAACATACTATTTTTTTGGACGACTGGACGCTTAGTAACACTGCAAATCTCCTGAAAAATTTGTTTGGAGGTTGAACTGTAACATCAGGGCGTTTAGGGTTTCGATAGAAACTTGTTGATTTTGATTTTGAAGCATTTGGAAGTTCTAAGTCACTATTAATCTCTTTTGAAAATTTTGAGAGATTGAATTGCAATAATAGGGAGTCTGGGATGTCTATATAAATTTTAAAATTATTTTGATAGCTTAAAAGTATTTTTTGTGGATGATAAAGCATCAAGAGGCCGCATGGGGTGCGCACGCCACTGCACATCTTGCTTACAACTCGCTCGGAAAAGTCCGATCAAGTACCTTATTTGTTTGAATTTCTTAAAAGTGAACATTTGTATTGTACCTGTTGTCTATTTGCTTACGTGGCACGTCCAGCTATCCCTACAAATTGCCAGTCATCAGTTTGGGAATCATCGTACTAACCTTCCTTCTTCTATCGCCTCCGTAGATTAGACGCTTTGGCTGCACTGGTTTTTTTGTTTTGAATCAATCCTTCTCATTTAAGTATTGAAAAAAAATCTCTTATATTGTATATATCGAAAAAAAAAGCCGACAACCATCTAACCGGACCGATGATTGTTACGTTCTTACAGAAACCGATCGGTGGAATAGCAGTCTTCCCCGGTGCCGGAAAGAAGGACAAGGAAGCCAAGGAACCGGCTTCGCCTGTCAAGGAGGAAGGCGTCAATGGTAGTAGCGTGACTTCGATTTCGCACCTTGCTTTTTTCTTCTTCTTTGAAGTCTTGTTAACTTTGGATTTATTTTGATTTTCAGGCAACAACGGCAACCAGGAAGCGCTCAATTCATCCACCGAGGAGAAGACCTCCCCTGCTGGAAAGCGAAAGGTAAGTCCTGACCAGAAGTACACGACATCTATCATCTACCTACATGAACTTAAGATCTCTGAGAATGCAAAATTCACTTTTGTCCTTCGTCAGTACTTAGTCTGTAACTTGTTTTCTTCTTTCACGTATTCTTCCTCTAGTAGTAGCTCTAGACTCTTTCATAAGTACGTACTTTCGAATACTTCTCGATTCCAAGTTTGATATTTTGGACCCTCATATCCTAGAATGTACTGTACCCGGAGCCTTGTTTAGGTGTTACATCCCAATACTTTACCCAATAATAGGTTGTAAGTCTGCCGTAGTAATTTTAGATTTTTACACAAGTTTTCTTTTTTATTTCGTTTCCCTTTTCGTTTTGGTACGTTTTGGTAATGTATTACGATGGCTTCACAATTTCGACGTAGGGTTTCCTGTTCTCTTCGGGTCGCAAATCTCCCAAGGAGAAGAAGACCGCTGGTGCTACGGCTACCCCGGTTACCAACGGTGACGGTAGCAAGAAGGGAGATGCCTCTCCGGTGAAGGAACTGGCCGAGGCCCAAACGCAAGCTCAGCAGGCGCAGAAAGACGCCGGCAAACCCGGGTTCACTAAACCGTACGAGTACTCGGAGAGCGAAAAGGACACTAGTCCCAACAAGAAGAACGTGAAATCCCGTGGCTTTCGGTACGATGAGGATCCCTCGCAGTATGCTAGGGACAAGGAGGAAGCACAGCTTAGTCCGAATTCGCAGAGCCGACGGGCCACGGGCTTGGCGTTCAACTATGCCCCTGGGGAGGATGAAAAGGTCCGGGAATCGGTAGAGAAGCGTAAGGCTCCTGGTAGTCCTGGTTCACCGCAAGCGGGTGATGCGAAGGACAAATTATCGCCCCAGACCGGTGGCAGGGGACTGGCTGGGGAGACAGATGAGCAGAAGGGAGTAAGAACCAGTGCCCGCTCGTATTCACCCAACAAGGGTAAGACGGTTGACCCACTGACTAGCGGAGCGGGATCGTTCCGCCCGTTGGATGACATCCAGTCCGATCCGAATGCGGCCTTTATCAAGGGAGAACAGGTAGCAGGAATTGTACCGGTGATTGCGGGACCACTCGAACCGGTTAAAAAGAAGGTTAAGATCATGGTGATCATTTCGAGATTTGATCCCAAGACGAAGAAGGTCGATACGGCTAGCGGCGTGGTGGAACACTCGACTGGAGTGCTGGACACGAAGTCCGGTCAGATTGAAAGTAAGTATGGAGTGATTGATCCCAAGGCGGGTACGGTTGTCAACTTCAATCCAAGAACCGGACAGAACGAAACCTTCCAGGGACAGACGGACCCGAAATCCGGACAGCTTCATGTTGTTAGCGGAGTGGTCGATCCTAGCACAGGAAAGGTGGATGACAATCTGGGACAGGTTATCATTGTGGCTCCGGATGACGATTCCATTGTGGAAATTACGACCATCACGGGTAAGGTCGATCCCAACACCGGTAAGGTCGATACGACCAATGGCGATGTGGAAAGAACTCGAGGTATTCTGAACAGCAAGACGGGAGTTGTGTCTACCAAGTACGGAGATATCAATCCCAAGACCGGGGAGTTGCGAACGGTAGATCCAAAGAGTGGAAAAGCTAGCAGTCGATCGGTAGCCGTCGATAAGGATAACGGACAGATTACGATCGTGGGAGTTACTGATCCCAAGACGCATAAGGTCGACAACAGTCAGGCTCACTTGGTGGCGATTGGCAACCAGGTAGATCCGGTCGTTGAAGTCACATCGGTTCTCGGTAAGTTGGACAAGAAGGGAATCGTTGATCCGAAGACGGTAACATTCGATAAGAGCACCGGCCAGCTGGATACCAAGGACGGTAAAATCAACACCAAGTTCGGACAGTTTGATTTGGCGAAACAGACGCTAACGTTCGTTGATCCGAAAACGGGTAAAACTGAGACTAAAGAAGTCAAGATCGATCCGGTTACGGGACAGGTGCTGCTGAAGAACCAGGTCAATCCCAAGACCGGAAAGGCCGATAAGGATTACGGAAGGATCATTTCTATCAGAATTGTTCATAATCGCATCGATCCGGCTACAGGAAAGCATGTTTCCACAGTTGAAGATAAGGACATCAGGATCGATCCGAAGACCAACCAGGTCTGGGTGCCGGAAGGTAAGGATCCCCGAACCGGTGAAACGATCTACACTTCCAGCCAGGTCGATCCGAAGACAGGCTACGTGATCACCATCTACGGTTATCTGAATCCGAAGACCAACGATATCGAGAAACAGACCAAACTGGATCCTAATCTTACCAAGGTTGACCCCACGACTGGACAGATCTATGCTGCCACCGGTCAAGTGGATGAAGCAACGGGTGAACCATTGTTCGCCGCTTCGCAAATCAACGAAGAAAGCGGAGAGATCTACACCAAGGTCGGCAAGGTGGATCCAAAGACCGGTAGGTTGGTGATCATCAAGATCTTCATCCTGACGAAGAAGGATGAACGTGGAAAACCCGAGGAGGTCGATGTCAACGGAGTGGACTTTGATCCGATAACCGGCAAGATCAACAACATTGCCACCAAGACGGTGTACGTGTACAAGATGCGCGATCCAATTACCGGGGAAACCTATCAGGTCGATCCCAATGACCCCAGCATTGCCGGAGCTCGCACCACCGTTACCCAAACTATGACCCTGAGCGGTGAAATCGATCCACTCACCGGACGCATTAAATCTGAATGGGGTCACATCGACCCGAACACCGGAGACATCGATCCGGCTACGGCTATCCGCGATCCGGTGACGGGCAAACTGATCCTCAACTACGCCGACATCGAACCGAGCCACTTTGGCAAGAATGTAACGGTCACGAAGGAAACGGTCCCCATCACGAGGGAACAGTTCTACGAAGGCATCAAGCATCTGGGCAAGAAGGCGATCCGACGGGACTCGGAAAGCTCCGACGACGAGATGGCCCAGTATGACAGCGAAAACGTTAAGGAGATCAGCTCGGGAACTCCGAAGGCAGCCGCCGCCGCCGGTGGAAAGTTCGGAGCGCCAACGGTGGTTAAAACGACAACGAAGCAGGTTATTACGAAGAACGAAGATGGCGTTACGCATAACGTCGAGGAGGAGGTGCAGAATCTGGGAACCGGACAGATCGTCTACTCGACACAGGAGCATAAGGTAAGCGGGATAGCGGTAGGCTTGATTGCTGTATGTATATATATACAGTTTGAGTGATGCTTCTTTGTTGTTAGAGCAAATACTAAATAGCCCTCGAAATTGCTGCTTTTGTGCATGACAATACTGCTCTTGATATCATTATTGTACAAAACAAAAAGAAGACGCTTGCAGCGTTACTCAAGTGTAACCCTCAGAATTAACCTCGGTCCGTTGGTTGGGTTTACCAGATGATATCCTTTGGGTTGGGCATACAATTGACTCCTATCATTGGCTCTGACATTCTGACGTTGACTTTACAGGATAGTTGTTTACATATGATTGTCGACCTACATCTCCAAAACCTTGTGGAGATTTGGTGTCTGAGAAAAGAAAAGTTACCTTCTTAAAAAACAACTTGATTATCATAAATATTTCTACGTTGAGATAGTCAAGTTGTGATTGAAGAGATCTCCATTGCTGATAATCACAGGACGCAATCTATCCTAAATATTCTGGAGTTCAAAGATATATCTAGCCAAGTTTTTCAGTCAAACGACAGTCAGGATTAGTTTCCTTAGCCATGAGATATTCTAGGTCCTCCAAATTGTTCAAAAGTTCCACTTGCATGATCTACTAGATCAACCAGGGTTTGAACGATGCAACGATACAGATTTATGGAATACATTCTCATCATATACGATCGCATTCCATGGATACAGAGATATCCCCAGCATATTCAAAAAATCTTTGTGCATCATTTACGTTCCTTGTACAAAAGGTGTTCTAAGTTCTCCAAATCATACTGGAGTTCTGATCATTCGATCCACTAGATCAACCGGAACTTGCACGATATCCTCTGTAACAAAACATGTCCAAGCAGATTCCTAGAGTCCATGTACATTATGTTCTAATTTGTGTTGTATCTAAGACGCTCAAGGTTCTCCAATACGTCGTCGAGTGTAAATCATTTGATTTACCGGATCAATATGAGCTTTCGTGATATCTGCACCAACGATACATGTCGAAGCAGATTCATAGAGTTCCCGAATCATGTGATCTAAACTCCAGCACGGTTTGGAGAACCCCATGACATTTTGAATGCATGAAAGTAGACATTGTCGTAGCTAATGGGGTTGCCTAGGGTTTTCCCCCTCCAGAATTATCTTGGCCCCCTCCAGCATTTTTTGAAGATTTATATAATTTAAAGTATATGTATTAGAATCTACAAAAAAAATCTGGAGGGAGCCTGGATCATTCTGGAAGGCCCAGGTACCCTAGGCATTCCCATTAGCTACACCAATGAAAGTAGGTCCTAAATGGTACGCGAATGGCAAAACACGCCCCCTCCCATTTGAGTGTATCGTCTGGTAGCGCCAACCCGTCTCCCATGATAACCTAACCTCATAAACCGAATCAAACCACGAAAATCGCAGGCCGACGCCCCCAGTGACATTCAGGGTAAATTCCTAACGGCAACGGCCGTAACGACGCGCACGGCCACGACCCACGAAAATCTCGAAAGCAACGTCAAGACGCAACAGCTGGAGGAGAAGACCGTCGCAACGACTACGACGCAACGCGGCGAACAACAGGAGCAGCGAGTAGTCACACAGGAAGTCAAGACCACCGCCACCGTCACCAGTGGCGATCAGGTAGGGTACCCCGCGAGACACGAGAGCTTTTTTGATAAACCCATTTCTCCATACCGCATCGTTTAATAATTCGTTTTTATTTTTATTTCTTACGTTTTTACCCCTTCACAACCTAATTTTGCGCGCATGCTTCTACAAATTATGCTAATTACGCTCCCGATTGGCTCCCGCTTGAACTGTGTTTGATTGTATGATTTGGTTGATGTAATGCACGCGGTAAATGCTATAGTTTACCCGCCGTGATAGCATTTCGTCGACGAGTTCCGGCGATTCCGGAACCCCAATCGATGGTCCGTACGGCGAGGAGGACGACTCCACGGTTATCTACAACAAGAGCTACACGGTTGGTATTCGATGGATAGTTGTAACCATTTCGTAGCATAATTGCTCGCATTTAAATATCAAAAGTCAAAACGAAACTACTTTTAAAAATTGTTGGACATCTAGAGTTGAACATTCTCCCCCGTTCCTATTCCGTAGGGTGTTGATGACGTTGCTGGAGCATCGAAGGTTCCAACCGGTCCGAATGTGGAACACCATCGGGTGCTGCTCGACGATTCGCAGGAAGGCGTCACAGCTGAGGGTGAGATTGTATCCTCTCAGACGGTCAGCAGCAAGACGCGAACGGTGGAAACAATTACCGTAAGTTGCCCACATTGATTCGATTTCTCTTCCTCATACTAATCAATAAAACCATTGCAGTACAAAACGGAACGGGACGGAGTGGTGGAAACGCGAGTGGAACAGAAGATCACCATCCAATCGGACGGCGATCCGATCGATCACGACAAGGCGCTAGCAGAAGCCATTCAGGTCAGTACTGCCGAAAGTTTGGTTAACCAAAAATCCACGAATCACATTTTGAAACTTCTTTTTCTATATCATTTGTACTCGCAAAATTTAGCTTATTGATAGCCTGTTTTGATTAATCTGGTCTTCTTTCGCAATCGAAATGGTCACCTCCAAAAACATGAAAGGCACACAATCACAGTAGTACTACTACAAACAGTTTTCGTTTGAATCTTTGCTTTCGCGTTAAATGTGTACACATCTGTTTAATCCTTATTTGTGTGCAGGCTTCCCGGCGATTCCGAACGGATCCAGAGGAGCGCATCGCTCAGTTTAAGAATTACATGTACGAGAAGTATAATTTTCCGCAGTAACGAACATTACGTTCTAGAGATATTGCAAGGCGATGCGGTTGGTACGGTGTTGTTGGTAGGCTTGTTCCGATGATTGTTTTTCGTTTTGTTTCAAATTGTTAAAAAAAAGAGAGAGGTTTTGTTTTGGTTTGAGAAAAAAAATGACCATGATCATGCTTAAAGGCTCAGTCGTTCGAATGTACCCCTAATAGTTGTCTAGTTTGTTAGCTTATGCGTATTACTTCATCACATTCAGCATGATCACTTCACTCAGGATTACTCGAAATGTTGTCTTATATACAAAAAAATGGCTACGTTGTAAAGCAAAATCTTTACAATTATTAAAGTTTAACAACATTGTAGTGTCAACGGTTTCGGAAAGTCGACAGCGCAGTTATACGTAAAAGGTATCAAAAGTTTTTATTCAAAACCTTGAGAATTGGTCAGATTTCTTTGAAGATATAAGATCATCGCATAAAGAGCCTTTGAGTGGTCTCTGAAACTTACGTGCTCTTGCTTTGGCCGTGGTGACAGTGTTGCCAGATTGTTTCCCGGCTTATCGGTATCAACCGTTTAAAGAAATCGGTATCTATCGGTACTTAATATCTTAATTAATTTGATATTTTTGTCGTTTTTGGTAGCAAAAATTCAAACTTTTGGACTAAAAATGGAAAATTTGCTTTCCAGGAGAAGTTGGAATAAATTTCCGGGCAATGTCTGAACTAGCTTCTGAAGGAAGCAGATAAAACTTCCAGAGAAAAAATAAAGTGGCTCTTCTGGAAAAAGTTTGCAGAAAGTTCTAATAGAAGTCGGAAAAACATCCGAGGAACTTCCAAGACAAATATTGAGAAACTTCTGGTGACAATTTAAAGAAGCTTTCGGGAAAAAATCGGATGGCACATCCAGATGAAGCCAGGCAAGATTCGGAAATCTGAAACACTTTCCTGGAGTAGCTATTTCCAGGGAAAGCCAGAATAAGCTCAGAAAAACCTTCCAATAGAAGCCGAAAAAAAACCTACGGATGATGGCTTATGGGGAAAGCTCCAGAGGAAGAGGAACGGAATTTCTGGGAGATACATTGGGTAGAAGTTTAATTGAACTTCCTGGAGACGCTGGAAGAAACTTTCTAAGGTAGATTGGAAGAAACTTCTGGAGCAAATCGGAAGTCATGTGGCTTACGGATCAGTCGAAAGCAACCCGGGGCAACTTGACAACTCCAGTATATTGCCAGTGTACGCCGACAATTTGGTGCTGGTGGTTCTGTCAAACTCACAAGTTTCAGAAGGGTTATCTGATTAGGGCGACTGCGGAAATGATGTACAATAAGTACAATCCAAGCTTAAAATTCTTCTTTTTGTCGCGCGCCCACCAAGCCGGAATGCGCGTCCGACGTCAAAATTAACGTTAGCGACATAGGAAATCCAGTGATGCAAACGAGAAATGTCGTTTTGATTTTCAGTCGTATGCACAATTCATAATCAATTTATGAAACTTTTTTTGTAGTCTCGTGTGTCTTTGAGCAGAACAGAACAAAAAGTTTTAACATACCTATGATTTGTAAAACGAAAATATGTGTTTGTCATCGAATTAAACGAAACAAATGAGAATTGAGCGTGGATACTATCGATGATTTCAACGCTTTTACCATAGAGGTAACTCTAAGACTAGTAAGTCCAGAAGAAACGTGCTCAACTTTTTGGCTCAGCTCTGGTACTATCTTCGGTCCCAAGCTAATCGATTCACCCCTCGAAACATAGGAAAAACCAATAACCCCTCATTTTACCTGTCGAGCTTTCATAGCGAATCAAAACAAACATTGCGTAGTACTAGAATTTCGACTAGAATGGGGTACGTTAATCGTATGCTTGGGACAAATAGGCTAGTCAAGTAGTGAGCCAATTTAAAATCGTTAGTTTCGTATTGATTGTTGCTACCAGCCTTGCAAGCTAATCGATTCACCCCTCGAAACATAGGAAAATCCAATAACCCCTCATTTTATCTGTCAAACTTTCATAGCGAATCAAAACAAACATTGTGTATTTCAATTTCTCTGATCATGGCAAACGTTCACCTTCATTCTCATTAGAGCGTTAGCAACAATCAATACGAAACTAACGATTTTAAATTGGCTCACCACTTTAGTAGCCTATTGGTCCCAAGCAAACGATTAACGTACCCTATTCTAGTTGAAATTCTATTACTACACTATGTTTGTTTTGATTCGCTATGAAAGTTTGACAGATAACATCAGGGGTGTGTGGATTCATGCAGAACATGCAGGGGTGAGTGAAATAGCTTGGGACTGCTTGGGACCGTTGTTCTGGTACTGAGTGAACCAAAAATAATAATGATTTTCTTCGGGACCCAGTGGTCTTAGAGTTACCTCTATGGCGTTAGTAGGTCTGGAGGTGGAAGCGGAACTGGGATTGATGGCTATATTGGCTATTACGTTCAAGCACATTTAACCCATCCACAAGATTTTGGCTCGATGTCTCTTTGATCTGTTGATGGACAGGTGTACAGGAAAAAAGGAGACATCCGATCGATGATTTTTGGCCTATTAAATTCTCCCTTAGAACCTGAACGAGCGAGAGTTCAATCCCACTAGGAACAACATCGTCGAACCAGTTATAAAGCATCTGATCGACTCAGAAGTGGGTGTCCTCGAAGATATAACTCAAACCTATGGTATCGGTGATTATTTTCGGCAACCGCAGTCTTCAGTGAAAGCGCCTGTAGGTCTGTATAGAACTAGAGAAGTTTCCCCTCAATCCATTCAGCTCCACACAGATGATAAATGTTAGCGATTCGTGATTCAAGAGCTTATATATTTGGGATTAATACGTATTGACATCCCCCATCTGACTGTAGTCCATACTAAATGAAACTGGGAATAATAGCCGAGGAAAAATGCAGGGCCATCTCAGAAGATCCTCGACAAACCCGGAATTAAAATCTGGCCGCCTCCCCTATGATAAGTTTTTGTTCTTCTTTATTGCTCATTCTCCATAACAAAAATGTTAATGTAGCTCAGCTCTCGCAGAAGATCCTTCATTGTACCAACAATCAATTCGAAACTAACGATTTAAAATTGGCTCACTACTTGACGAGCCTATTGGTCCCAAGCAAACGATTAACATATCCCATTCTAGTCGAAATTCTAGTACAACACTATGTTTGTTTTGATTTGCTATGAAAGTTTGACTGATAACATGAGGGGTTCGTGGATTTTCTAATGTTTCGAGGGGTGCATCGATTAGCTTGGGACCGAAGATAGTAACAGAGCGGAGCCAAAAAGTTGAGCACGTATCTTCGGGACCTTCTGGTCTTAGAGTTACCTCTATGATTGTACCATAGAGGTAACTCTAAGACAAGAAGGTCCCGAAATAACGTGCTCAACTTTTTGGCTCAGCTCTGGTACTCTCTTCGGTCCCAAGCTAATCGATTCACCCCTCGAAACATAGGAAAAACCAATAACCCCTCATTTTATCTGTCAAACTTTCATAGCGAATCAAAACAAACATTGCGTAGTACTAGAATTTTGACTAGAATAGGGTACGTTAATCGTTTGCTTGGGACCAATAGGCTACTAAAGTGGTGAGCCAATTTAAAATCGTTAGTTTCGTATTGATTGTTGATTGTACGCTTCGATATTGGATACCCATGACGGTCCAAATGGTTTAGTTCAAAAATAAGAAACGTATTTTGGAATACGCCTTCAGTACTTTTGTGTAAGGCATGTGGGCGTGAATGGGAGCAGCGTTGGAAAAGTTCGCGAGTCATATTGATTTTTGGTGAAGTTGTCCAATACTCAATGTGAGGATGCTCACCGTTATAAAACTTAAATCCGATATTCACAGGATGTATGGTATTCTTCTTTTTGTACGAATAACCGCATAGATTAGGTGTTCCGCCATCCCGTTATATAGTTGGGTTCCATTTGCTTGATATTGATGGAATTGTTTGTGTTGTCTTCCAAATTTACCATCAAAGACAACTGTCGGGCATGTTTCAATCGAAAACGAATCGTCTCTAGAGGTAATCCGTTTCGGCCATTTTGACTGCTGTATCGACAAGACGCTCTCAACCGCCCATGGTGTGGATTCGGATAATACTTTCAGAATTTTTCAAACGATCCGTTTGTCGTTTTTAAATTCTTGCTTGAATCGATGTATAACCAGTATGATAACAAATTCTCTCACTTCTTCTTCTTCTTTTTTTCGCTTTCCAAGCTTATTGCTTATCGCATATTAGCTTATTGCGTGCTCTCAACTTAGTGTTCTAGATGCACTTCCACAGTTATTAATTGAGAACTTTCGATGCCAGGTACCATTTTGCATTAGTATAATTGTGTGGCAAGTACAATTATACTCTAAGTCCAGGGAAGTCGAGAAATTTTCCAACCCGAAAAATTCCTAGACCGGACCGGGATTCGAACCCAGCCGCCTCCAGCATGGTCTTGCTTTGTAGCTGTGCCTTTACCGACTGAGCTAAGGGAGGCCCCTAGCTTAGTTTTTGAATAAACAAAGTATTCAACCGTGTAGTAAACCTTAGCAACGATTGGCAAAACGTCAACACTCAACAGTGATGCCGTTTTATGTTATATTATTTGTGTCCTACTTGTCAAAGTGTGCCTTAACGTGCCGCACAGTGTGCCATGCTGTGTATCGG